CGCCAGCAACACTGCACCTACTGCAGACAGTAACAACAGATCAGATGGGGACATCACGTTACCCTCCGTTGTGGACACTAGCTTACTCCCGCCTGACTCGCCGCCCTCGCCCCAGGAGCAGCAGTCTTCGTCGCCCAAAACTACGCCGCCCCTCTGCGTCCCGCAGGTACCAGGATACCACGGCAAAACAGAGCCTGACCTGGTATATCTAAACAAGTACCCGCCTGTACAGTGGGGTAAGGGCAGGCGGTCATTTTGCAGCTCGTGGTATAAAATAGACAATGGCTAGAATATTAATGTAAAAATAGTGTCATATTCTGCCATGCCTGTAGAAATGTTGGGTCAAAAATAATGCATACAATAGCACAGATGCCTTCACCATGAATGGCTACAAAAAATCTCATATCCCAAGCTTATCAACAAGCTAATGTTGCAGCTGAAATGTTCTCCAGGTCACAAAGTCAACCTCACATGATGATGTGATACCAGTTTTCAAGCACAGTAAAAATTCTCTTCCCAGAGTATATGATGGGACCAAGGTGATGATGTAGTACATGGTTTTAATAATACTTTTGCTTTTCAATGTTTGCCATTTCAAACCATGAGCTGGTTCAAATAATATTTGCCTTGATTTACAATATGTTCTCATTTGTTTTATCAGTACAGTTTTTAATGTGAAATATTTCAGGATTGCACTTTTAACACACTTGAAATGTTCTCACTTGCTTGGTTTCAAAACATAACAAATGCCATAATCTGTTCATTGGGGACCATAACATCAATGCTATTTTTCATTGCTGTTGCCGGCCACTATTGCTCATGTAAACCAACTACTGCTGCACCCCCTGTAATCTCAGATGCACCCCAAGTCATTTTGTTCTGGAACCAGGCCTGTACATGGCCATATACTAAAACAAATACAGAGCCCATTCCGTGTCCTGTTATTGTTTACTTCCTCTCTGCCTTCTTCTGGTGATTTATCTGACGTCCAGCGCTCCGTCTTTTAACCTCTTTTCCTTTCTCTTTCTTGATCCTCCTTAGCAACCTTCATTATAGTCCTTGACAGTGGTCTGTACTGTATTAACAACGTGTCACATGTTAAGAATTTACAATCAGAATCGAGTATTCAACTAAGCCGTGTAATAAAAGTTGTTAGTAGCCTTAATGGCCTACACAGTTGTTATGCTATAACACATTGCCCTTCACTGGATGTATAATGAGCTGCACTAAACTACATTTTAGCATTTAAAATACCTAGCCATTCTTTTGCGGTTATTTTGGTGAAAGTAACTCAAAAGTAATATAAAAGTAGTGTAACTCATTACATTTCAGAGACAGTAATATTGTAATGTAACTTATTACTTTAAAAAGACAGTAATAAGTAATATGTAATATATTACATTTTGGAAGTAACTTGCCCAACACTGCCCTTAAATAACTACATCATGTTTTTCAGGGGCAACACAAACTGCTATCTGTTGTTAGCTAAGACAGCTAGCTCTTGTGAAGGGAAGTAACAATAGCCTACTAGCAAACTTAAGGTTAACTTAACATTAACGTAATGTTGTAAGAAAGCAAAACAAACCTTCGAGAAAGCTTTTACTCTCAGACTGGGTGAAATTGTGTAATGTTGCTTACCTCCAGAAGGAGGTGCGTGTTTCCCCACAGAGCTGTCAGAGCGGTTCCTCTCAGAAGAGCAGCTGCTGGGCGGGGTCACAGAAACGGCTCAACTGATCTTCACTCCCGACCGTTCGCGCCCGTCAAAACCACGTTTTATACCGTTTTGTTTCAACTACTGCTGTGTCGTCGTTTCGCTGTCTGTCTGTCTGTCTGTCTGTCTGTCTGTCTGTCTGTCTGTCTCTCTTTCTCTATTTATTTAGCTAAAATGGTAATCCAACTTCACCAGCTAACATAATCAGACCTTGCTGGTGTACCAGCTTCACCATGCTGGTCTTGCTGGTCTACCAGCATTGTCTTGCTGGTGATACAGCTTCACCAGCAATAGAGTTATTTAGACACAATTAACACTAATAGTTTAATGTCTTGTTACATAAGAATAGATCATATTTGTTAACCTGTTACGCACGGCCCCCCCGGTACCGGGCGGATAAACGCGTCATTTGCAGGAAACAACGTCTAAGGAATCTTAATATTTAATAAACTATGAATGTTTTATATCCATGTAACGGGAAGAAACTCAGCTAACTGATCTTTTTAATTTTTTTTTTCCAAAAAAAACCCACAATGCTAGCACTCAGCCTCTGAATTAGCCACGAGCGAAAAAAATTAACCTATCTCTGCACCTAAACTCACTCTAACTCCCTTATTACTTATCCTAGATGCACAGCCAACCACTCGTTTTTGGTGTCCTGGAGACACTGAATCTAGTGGTGCCCTCCTCAACACTCAGTGATAAACATTCGCGACGCTATAAACGAAAGCGTACATCATAACATGTGGAGCTAAGTAGCAAGAAACGCTAACATGGCTTACCTTGGTCAAAACTGGTCTTCAATGGCATTTAAACGATAAAAAAACGATACTGCAGTTAATCCATAGGTTCATCCTATGTATCTGTGCCTTCTTTGAAATTATTTCTGATAATCCATAAGCAATAAAACGGCTTTTTAATTTCCAAACTCCAGAAGGACAAAATCTGCAAAAATAGTTTCATTTCTAGACGCGTAGCCCACACCTTTTCTCTTTACAATGAGTGTGTGAGTGGGCCTCCCCCTTCGATTCTATTGGCTCTAACGGTCAGAAAGGTGTGTCAACGATCCCAATCGAGTAAGGGGGGCCAGAGATAGGTCAAATCCACCCAAATGACCCCAGAAGTGGGGGTTTTTGGCTAAATCTCTCTAAAAAGGTCAAATCTCACTTGTTTTGCATCAATCTTGATACAGGGTACTTATTATATGTTGTACTTTGGATTCCTAAAGCTTTTAGTCTACTAACCCATCATCCAAGGGTAGTTTTCACTATCTGTAAAAAATAATCTTTGGACGGACACTATAATTTACAGTTTTTTACTATGTAAAATCTGAATTTTGTAACCTAAAATGGCACTTAAACTCACTCTAACTCCCTTATTACTTATCCTAGATGCACAGCCAACCCATCGTTTTGCATCAGCTGGAGACACAGAATCTGGGGGTGCCCACCTCAACACTCAGTGATAAACATTTGCGACGCTATAAACGAAAGCGTACATCATAACATGTGGAGCTAGGTAGCTAGAAACGCTAACATGGCTTACCTTGGTCAAAACTGGTCTTCAATGGCATTAAAACGACAAAAAAAACGATGCTGCAGTTAATCCATAGGTTAATCCAATGTGTCTGTGTCCTCTTTGAAATGATTTCTGATAATCCATAAGCAATAAAACTGCTTTTTCGTTTCCAAATTCCAGAGCTAGAGATAGGTCCACTCTGCTGCAAATGTACATGCGCGCAGCCCCCACCTTTTCTCTTCACAACGTGTGTGTGTGGGGTTCTCCCCCTTCGATTATATTGGCTCTAACGGTCAGAAAGAGGTGTCAACCATCAAAATCGACCAAGGGGGGCCAGAGATATGGAAAAAAAAACATTTTCACCCAAATCACCACAGAGGTGGGGTGGTTTTGGCTAAACCTCTCTAAAAAGGTCAAATGTCACTTGTTTTGCATCAATCTTGATACAGGGTACTTGAATTCCTAAAGCTTTTAGTCTACTAACCCATCATCTAAGGGTAGTTTTCACTATCTGTATAAAAGAATATTTGGACACTATAATTTACAGTTTTTTACTATGTAAAATCTGAATTTTCTTTAAAATAAAAAACATCTATATTGATTCTGACACTTCTACATCCAACTCACAGATGTAACCTTGCTTTGATAAAAGAAATTATTCATATAACCCTTTTAGAAGTTAAGTTGTAGTCATTTGTTTTGGGCATGTCATTTTCGAGCCTGAAACATGAAAAACAGGCTTGGTGCTTAACAGGTTAAGTGTTATTATGGGAGAATTACTATTCTTGTGGTACTACTGCCTTATTAGGCCCATATTGAGCAGAGCATATTAAGACAAACTCATGGACAACAACTTCCTTACTTGCAATAAATAAGCACTAATTAGAGGGTTATTGAGGAAAAACTCTCAACTAATGGCCTATTACTTGTAGAATACGGTCATGTAGAATAAACCATTAATAAGTATTTTATTATGACTAATAAAGAGCCAATATACTGCTAATATGCATGTAAATGATCAACTAGTTGATGGTGAATTTGTGTACCTTAATATAAAGTGTTACCGTTATTTCAAACGGGAACATTGTTTTCTGAAGTTACATAATGTTTTCTTTATTCAGAATGGAGTACTGCAGTTTGTCAGAGATCAGCTGTGCTGCTCTGATATACGCTCTGAAGTCCAACCACTCCCATCTGAGAGATCTGGACCTGAGTAACAACGATCTGCAGGATTCAGGAGTGGAGCTGCTGAGAGATCTTCTGGAGAGTCCAGACTGCAGACTGGAGACTCTCAGGTCAGTTCACTGACTCTGTTACTGCTGGAGATCTCATGTTTCATTAGTTATTCAACCTAATTCTTCTACATACATATATTACATCCATACGTTTGTAAATGTTGTCATAACAGTTGATTGTTTCCTAAAGAAACTATTACTCTTCCACTGTTGGTTGTTAAAGTAAATGTATGTTTTTTTAGTAAATGGTCTGAATAAAGAAGGTCCTCTGAACTAATATTAGTTGTACGTAAAGTTTACTTTCTGACACAGAAATGTTTATGTTCCAAATAATTTCAATGTGTTTTCACAGAAAATAAACAGAATGCTGATATAATGATGATCCTTAATAACAGAATGACAGTCACTGTAATTCAGGGAAAAGCTCATTGATTAGGACGTGGTAATGTTGAGCTACACATATTAAACCTGAACATCTGATTAGATTATAAATGGATTTTTATCCTCATCATGTTTTCTTTATTCAGACTGGGGAGCTGCAGGTTGTCAGACATCAGCTGTGCTGCTCTGGCCTCAGCTCTGAAGTCCAACCCCTCCCATCTGAGAGATCTGGACCTGAGTTACAACTATCTGCAGGTTTCAGGAGTGAAGCTGCTCACTGATCTTCTGGAGAGTCCACACTGCAGACTGGAGACTCTCAGGTCAGTGAGGGGTAGAGACTGAGTCAACGTCGCTGGTTCAGCAGTATTGTATTAAACACAGGGAGGTGTTTCTCTCGCTGGGGAATCACAACAGATCAGTGATGTTACCCACTGACTGCAGGCTCTTTCATTATTCGATAAACTATAGAAGGCCAGCTGAAGATGCAAGCCAAACTTTAATAAGGAATCAACTCTCTCACAGACATATGGGATTGTACATAAGAGTGGGAAAAGGTAGTCTGTTTTTTATGGGTTGTGAAATGAATTTGACTGATATTTTGCCGGCTTGAATTTGTTGACCACTTAAGGGCCTCAAATAAAGGAGTTCTGGTCAGAAAGTGCAGTTCAGTTCCATTTATTTACTCCAACTCATGGTTTCTAGACTAATGACTGTTTACTTCCTGTAATGCAGCAGAGAGCTGTGGTAGTCAGTCGTAGAGTTTGCAGAGAAGATATCATGGAATGTAAAGCATTAGATCAGTCAGGATCTGAGTAACAACGCTGACTTAAAGAACAAACACTTATTTTAAACTGGATCTAAAACTGTTGGATTGTGTTCATCCCTACAGGATCAATAATGAGACGATCAGAGCCCAGATCCAGAAGACCTGTGAGTACTGAAACCATGTCCTCTATTCATCAATATATTGTACATTAAATCTGATCTTAAATAGTCTTTATAGTACAACAACAATATATTTTAATTCCATTTTGTTACAGCTCTATTCAATCATTTTGGCTGCTAATATTTCTCTTTGTTCAAGTTTAATTATGTGTGACTGGCAAAGCCACACAAAATGTATGGATATTCTTCGTTGTACTTAACAATTCAACTAATGCTATTAATACTTACTCAGCGGGGGTAATGTTAGCATCGGGACGTGCACACAAGTTTCAGTCACACAGTCAACATTTCTCTGAATTTTCTCACCTCTCACTTCTTCTTTCCATCAGGTGACTCCAATGTGGAACAGGAAGTGAAGACGGACAGAAAGGTGAGAGAGGAGCGTAAAGAGTGAAGTGTATTTATTTCACCACTGAATTAAAATATGATTGTTAGGGCTGTCAAGTTAAACGCTATAACGTTCGCAATTGATCGAAATGATTCAGGTATTCGATTATGAGTTATGAATATTTCTATTGAATTTTTATTTTTTTATTTTTAATGGGAGGTGTGCCCAAGAGGATTACATATCACCAAGTTGATTCAATAAATGTATATGACGATGCCATTTAAAATATCTGGATGCCCGACGAAATGGGAAATATTCCGACTGGCTGGTACTTCGGTTCTGTGATTGGCTGTAATACTGTGCTGTGATTGGCTGGTAAAACTGTGCTGTGATTGGCTGGTACTTGTGTTCTGTGATTGGCTGGTAATACTGCGATTGGCTGGTAATACTGTGTTTTGACAAACTTTGTTTGTTCCAGGCTGCTGAATCCTTCTCACCTGAACACGCAACTGGATCTTCATACAGGTGATCATATAACATGACCAAACATTATTTTAAACTAGGGCTGTCAGTCGATTAAAATATTTAATCGCGATTAATCGCATGATTGTCGATAGTTAATCGCGATTAATCGCAAATTAATCGCACTTTTTTTTTCTGTTCTAAATGTACCTTAGAGGGATATTTTTCAAGTTTTTAATACTTTTACAGATGGAGCATCTTATTTCAGACAGTTTGAAACGCGAGGGTCATGATTGGGTCGTGATTGGTCCGTGATCGGCCCGTGATCGGTTCGTGATGAATAGCCGGCCCCCAGTCTGACTTGATACCGCCCCCGTGATAAATACATTTAATTATTGTGAAGCCAGCTGCAATGGATCATTGATCCACCAGGGGGTGCAGTGGGGTTCCACACTGGAGCTCATGTGAAATCAACTTCGATACAGTAAACTGGATGGACAGTATGTCTGGTACTAATGTATAGCGGATCTTTGTTAAGATCCATATGTCACGGATAGGATCATAGTCTGTGCTAAATAAGACATGTAATCATTTACAAAATATCACCATGTTGTTATTTAACAAAATAATGTTGTTTAGTCGAAAAAAACGAACGAGAGGAAATGCAGCCGGCTCTCGATTTTTAATCCTAATTTAATCATCATCTTCACCACGATCATTTATGTTTATGTTCGCCGAATTGACATGAAATCACTGACAAATATGAATATACTGTATTCAACTTCATTAAAATGTTATTAACGTGCCTAAACTCAGTAATTCACTAAAAATATTTATATTTTAATGGAGCCTTGTCAGGCAGATCAAGATCCCGACGCGTAGCGCAGGGATCTTGATCCCTGGGTGTTATTTTTCCCCATAATGACCAAGTCGCTGCAAATTATCCCGCTTATTACATGGCCACATTCTCAACAAAGTAACGACATGACTCCCAATATTAATTGAAATGCTTTTATGGATTTAGAAAATGTTTTTATTGATTTAAAAAATAGTTGTATGTATTGATTTAAATTGACATGCATCCGCTAAGAAAAATAGTCCGTTGTTACCGTTTGTTACCAGTCAGAATGAAACGGCAGCTCTCAGCTGTGTGTTTACACACCTAATGGCCCATCAGCCACAGCTCTCTCCCCCCCCTGATCTTTCTTTTCCAACAGTTAAGTTAACTGTAGGTTACTCTGAGTGACAACCTTACAGTTAGTGAAGTAACACTTTTTTTTTGTGAGTCACGACCTGGCTGTTTCATTCTAACATAACGCTCCAAATATGACTGTTTCCACTCGGACTTCAATACAGCAACACCATTGTTTGGTTTCCATGGTAGCGTGTCTCTTTAGTAGCGTGCACTCCTTTCCTGTAAATTACAGGTCCAGCCAGGCAAAACAGTGCACTTCTCTTTCCCGCACTACTGTGACAGACCATGGGGCTGGGTCAGCCACTAACATATTCATATTTCTCTTCTCAAAAAGAGAAATATGAACGTTAGTTTTTAACTGAAATGATCAAATAAAGTCAAAATGTCACAGTGTTTACAAACATTGACCATACCGTTCACCAGCCCCCACCCCCCTATGTTGAGTATACTCTTTGTTTAAAACTCATTGGCCATCGGAATGTGTGTGTCCCAACCCACCCCTGTGATATCTCTTCTCCAGCAGTCTGTAGGTTTGTGTTTGCATATTTATGCTGTCGCAGTTCCTGTTGTTTCTATCGCGCTTTGCCGGTATGAAAGGGTCTGTGCCGGAAATATCAAACATTTCATAAAAGTGAAAAACAATGAACAAGACTTAACGTATTAATAATAATTAATTATATTTATTCCGTTTGGATGTACGATTTTTGACTTTGTTTAGAGCAGTGATCTTCTCTTCCTCTCTGCAGCAGAGAGCTAAGCACTGTCAGACCAGACCTAACCCTAACCCTGAAAAGTTTTATCATCTGAAAGTAAAATTAATCATTATGTTATTAGTATTAAATACATATAAGTATTTTTACAACTTGTATTTAGAAATACTCTGTTGTAATTATTGATGCATAAATGTGTTCATCCATTCAATGTGGCGTCTGCTATAATGGGGTTAATGCATGATATTACTTAATAATACAATACACTATATAATATATGATATGATAATTACATTTTAATTTGATTCATTTCTTATTTCATAGTTTCTCTTCATTATTATAACAGTTCTGTTTCATATGAGTGTTGAGAGCTGTATCCATAAATCTCTTAATTTTGCCCTCAAAGTGCACCAGATTGATGCATTTAACTTCAATATAAAGAAAAACATCTTCTGTTGCAACAACAATAAAATTATAAATAGTAACATAGCTGAACATGGTATTGCACATTTAGCTTTGAGTGTTACTGACCTGAGATGTTTTTATTACATGAATTAAGGTGACTGAGGCTTTTTAACATAGACTTTTCAGTGTCCCACATATCCACCCGGTTCGCTTACGGCCGACAACCCCCCCCCCCCCCGTCGCACCTTCTAACAGAGCCCCCCCACATATCAAATCCCAATTTAACCCCTGGCCTCTGGAGCAGAAATGAAAGAGTTTTAAAAATGTTTACGTTTTGGTAAGTTTTTAGGGAAATGTTGTAATATTGCAACGTTGGCCTTAGGTGGGAGCAGAATTTCTGTATTTCTACTCACATTGTCTGAATAAATATATTGAACAACTAAGGGTTAATTTGCAGGATTGATTGCTTACTTAGCCCTATATCAGTATATAGCATGAATAATAATCACAAATCACTCATATTTGTTATGAATAATCATTTATCATTTATTAAATAGTAAGTCGCTTTGGATAAAAGCGTCAGCTAAATGCAATTTATGAAAGCCTCACTCAGGATTTTTTATACCAAGTGTTTTTATTGCTCTTGGGGCATTAAAAACAAGATTTTAACTTTAGTTTTTTATATAATATCTGCATTTTCTCTTGTGAAAAACTAAGTCCTAGTTTGGCCATAGTTATTTAATATATAAAGACTATATATTATTGAATTACAAGATTAGATATACTTTATTTGATCTAAAATATTGATGTGTTCAAATGCTCTTCTAAACAAAACTGAAAGTCCATGAAAAGTTCTCTTCCTGTTTTTTTGAAGGAAGCGCCATCTCCTGGTTAAATCCTGAAATTGAAAATCTGGCAACGCCCTCTTGGAAAATAGTGGGAGGGCTTAACATTCCCAGATACTGGTCTTTGGCAGGTCTTAGGCAGGTAACTGGCAGGTAGTAGGCAGGAAGCAGTAAGCTGGAGTCTGAAATAAGATGCTCCATCTGTATCAACATATGAGTGGACAAATATGCTTTATATGTTTGTTTATTATCATTTGAACAATGACAAATATTCTCATGAATATTAAACACAACAACCTCTGAACATTACAAATATTTGCCTCAATTCAACCTGGAACCTCTCTCATACAATAATATAATACAATACAAAGTGTGTGTGTGTGTGTGTGTGTGTGTGTGTGTGTGTGTGTGTGTGTGTGTGTGTGTGTGTGTGTGTGTGTGTGTGTGTGTGTGTGTGTGTGTGTGTGTGTGTGTGTGTGTGTGTGTGTGTGTGTGTGTGTGTGTGTGTGTGTGTGTGTGTGTGTGTGTGTGTGTGTGTGTGTGTGTGTGTGTGTGTGTGTGTGTGTGTGTGTGTGTGTGTGTGTGTGTGTGTGTGTGTGTGTGTGTGTGTGTGTGTGTGTGTGTGTGTGTGTGGACACTGTGATGGATCATTGGAGCTATGTGCAGCTCAAGGCATATATGCTCGAACGGGAGCTGCCTGGACGCTGCAATCATGTTGCGCGCACTATCCGTGCTGAGTGTGCTGACTTTTCGTACAATGTCCCACTGTCTGGCTACCTGCATAAAGTCAAGTGCTCGGCGCAGTTGTCGGCGAAATGTCGCTCCTCTGTTTTCATTGAAACAGCTCCTTATATCCGTTAGCGCAGCTAGCTAGCACCAGGTGCTAACAACAACAACAACAACAACACGTAAGGTGTGCCTCGCTCGCGAGTCGCGCCACACATACACACACCCTCCCGGTCCTCCCGATGGCCAGTCCGGGCCTGCCGATGAGCGTGGAAGTGTGGTCTGCCACAAGCGGGCGGCAGGAGCGGGGCTGTCAGCATCAGCTTGTAGATGGTATTTTAAACTCGATGCGCTCTGAAACTACGGGGCGGCCGAGGACAAAAAATACACATGCGTTAATCACGTTAAAATAATTAGTGGCGTTAATTTTTTTTTGCGTTAACGCGTTATTAACGCGTTAACTTGACAGCCCTATTTTAAACACATTACATTTATATTCATTTTATTGTGTTTGTTCACACACACATACTGATGCATGTGGACACATCTTCAATGATGTTCCTGTAATCACCAGGTGTTTCAGATCTTTCAACAAACCCCCCTCCAGGTCAGACTCCAGCTGGATGAACAACTGTCAGTCAAAACACAAGCCAGTGAACGCTTGGTGTAGTAACTTGTCCCTTGTGTGTCTTTAGGTTCAGGTGTCCTGGTCCAGGTGTGTTCCAGTGTGCTTTGACTGGCCTGGTGTTCGTCATGGCTCAGGAGGCGGAGCTTCTGTACAGGACGGTCCCTTGGGAGGAGAGCCTCCTCCAATCAGCTGGCAAGAAGGCAGCAGGGCCGCTGTTCGACGTGAAGAGTTCTGATGAAACTGCCGTCTGCCAGCTCCACCTGCCACACAGTGAGACAGAGGATGGTAAGACATCTGCAGTGTTAACAAATACACACTTGTATAATGTTTCTGTGGCACCTTTTTATATCCACTACCATTCAAAGGTTATGAAGCAGCTTTATTAAACTAGTATAATTCAGACACAAAATGTATTATTTACATTCAAATAGTTTTGTCCCCAAAAGAAGAAATTGAGTTTAAAGAGATTTAAACTGGGATTTTTCAGTCCACAGCATGCTCAGCTGCTAACAGTGCTAACTCAACGCTAACTCTCTGTAACTGTTGTGATGCTAAGCTAGCAGTTTGATTAATTCTTGATTTGTTATCCATATGTTGCTCTCTCTGCTCTTTTCATTGTCAGTCTGGCTGAACCATGTACAAAACAAAACAACAGAACTTTGTTATGCCCTAAAAGCTTTAGAAAACTCTTCACACATCTAGAGAATCAATCAGACATGAGACCTGACACAGTCAAGCTTTTCTGACAAACATTTCAGCGTTCTTATAAATACAAAAATAATGAATAACTTTTATGCATAACAGTAAATGCACCCATCCAGAAAGATCACAGGGGGACAGATCAATAATTAAACATTAAAATAAACGGTGAAGGATATAAACTGGTACACCCTAGTGAGGCTCAAAAGTGAATGACATTAGATCAACATTACCTCTGAACTAAAGCAGTGTGACATTGAATATGATGAAGCTGTTTTAGCAGCAATGCAACAGATGACCAGCTCTTTGCTCCACAGCGTTGCTCCTGGATGGCCTGTTGTCTGTCGTCCACATCACTGATGAAGGCCGGAGCATCTTGGAGCCGCTGGAGGTCACACGCACTCACGTGGTGGTGAAGGTGCCTCACCTCTCTCTCTTTGGCCTTATCATCGATACATTGAAAAGGCTTCTAAAGTGGCGTATAAAAGGCCAAATTCTGGTATTTCTACGTACACCGTCCGGAGAGGAGCAAATACTGGATGTACATCTGCTGCAGAACAACGTCCATGTGGAGGAGGTAAAGTCAGCCTCTTTACGTGAGCTTTTTTAGAAACGCCCGTCCCTCAGCCTCTAGTAATGACAATTACAACAAAGTTAGCTGAAATCCTGGTGTGTCTCAAACAGACACTGAAGTGAGCCCTGTGCCAAAGGAATAGCTTCTTCAATAGCTTATATCCAATAATTAAAATAATATATTTTGAATATTCCTTTACAAAGGCAATATATACTTATAATTATGTTGTAATTGATTGTATATCTCATCAATCTGTGGAGCAGGTCTGTCCACGTTTGTTGTTGTTTAATGTGATCTTTAAATAAAGTAGCCTTGACTATCTGAGAATAACTAAAGTTACCCTCCTACTGAAGGTTGCTGACAAACACAAACGTGCTGTGCACATCACAAACTCCTCCGACTGTGAGCTGGACATTCATCACAGTTACAGTGTGCACTGTGAACCTGAGGGCTTCTATATACAGCCTGAGGTGAGTCACTGATACTCCTCTAAAGGAACACAATGGTCATTAACACACATTTATCTGCATGTGATATCACAATCAGGAAATAAACAGATAAACGTTTAACTTCTGCTTCTGGTTTTCAGAGTAAAACATTTGATTCCAGCTTTGGACCAAACTACCATCCGACATTTCAAGTTTCCCTGACGACGAGCACCGAGAGAGTGGTTTTGAAGGTCCAGGATCAAGGTGGAAATGAAGTCTGGTATTGTCGCGCGTCACTGGAAGGTAAAGACTCCTCCTGAGCTCAGACCCAGTGATAGACTGGATAACTTTAAAGCTCCATCTCATAGCAATCTCTATTAAGGCTCCATCGCAGCGCATCATTACGACATTAAACACACAACCCGTTATATTCTAAAACCATAGTCAAATCTAGTGTGGTGTGGTGGTGAAACAGCGTGGCATCATGGGAGTTGTAGTCTTCAGCTTCTCATGGTTAAGTGGATACGGCCCCATTACAGGAGACCGTGATGAGACGTACTGTTACCTTGATTAAAATTATACATCTCTGAACCATTTGGGATAATGTAGGTAAACAGCTCAACAAAACATAAATAACATAGGTGTAGTAGTTTTCAGACATTTTAATGAGGAAATGTTACATATTATAACTTCAAGTGAACAGAAATCCACCCCTGGGAATGCTGAGTTACTTTAATTTTTAACAGATCTGTTTAATGTGATTGTTGGTTATCCAGTTAAGCCCTGAGCCTGTTTTTCAGGCCTCAGGCTCGAAAATGACATTCCCAGAACAAATGACTATACCTTCACTTCTAAAAGGGGTAAATTATCCAAACTATAACATATAATAAGAACCCTGTATCAAGATTGATGCAAAACAAGTGACATTTGACTTTTTTAGAGAGGTTTAGCAAAAAAAAAAAACACTTCTGGGGTCATTTGGGTGGATTTTCCATATTTCTGGCTTCCCTTGCTCATTATTGATGATTGACACCTCTTTTTAACCGTTAGAGCCAATAGAATCGAGGGGACGTTCCTAAAATCCATCTAAACATTACCCATTGGTGAATGAGTGATGCGTAGCCGGAATGCCCAAAACCGGAAGCTGTCAAACACTCTGGTAGCTATCATAGCAGCTATATATGAAAACTCAGATATTGACATAAATATGAAGATGGATTATCAGTAATAATTTCAAAGTGACACAGACACATTGGATTAACCTTCAGCAGCGTTTTTATTGTTTTAATGCCATTGAATACAACTTTTGATCAGAAAAGTTATAGACATATAAGACATATTTCCAGTTTTTGCTCCGTAAAGCTACATCGTGTGTTGTCTGGGTTTGCTTCCCCTGCCGCGATCGCACAGTGATGATACTTGTATTTCTAGAATCTGTGGAATCTCAGCTTTAATCTGATGTCTTGTTTGTGCAGATCCAATAAGTAATAAGGATATTTTATGAGTTCTGTGCTATGTGAGTTAGCATTTTTCGCTCAGGGCTAATTCAGAAGCTTGGTATTACCCTTGTGTTTTGTTTAGCTAAAAATTGTTAATATTGTCTGATAGCTGAGTTTCTTCCCGTTAAGTGGGTATGACACATTCATAGGTTGTTAAATGTTAAGAAGCCCTCAGACGCTGTTTTTTGCAAGATGTTGCGTTTTGCCCCCGGTAAGTATTTTCCCTGTTTATCTACCAGGTCCAAGGCATGAATTGTCCCAGAGAAATGTCCCAGCAGAGAGCAGAGACCCAGCAGAGAGCAGAGACCCAGCAGACCAATGGCTGCTCTCACATCGGACAGAGTTCATTCTAAGAGTGTCTCCACCTCTCCTGAAGGACCTTCTGGATAAACTCTTTGAGTCTAGAGTTATCACTGATTCTGAAATGACGTCAGCCAGAACCAAACCCCAAAATGACGGAGCACGAGAGGTGGTGGACACGGTGCGAAATAAAGGAGCTGAAGCCAGCAGGGTTCTGATCAATGCTCTCCGTGAGCTGGACCCATGTCTTTACAGATGCCTCGACTCGAGCTGAAGCAAAACCTCGTGGAGTGTGTGTGACAGTTGAAGTCTAGTCCTGTGTTTTGTTAACTTTAACTATTTCCCCTTGTCCTTGAAGGTAACACAGATTCTGAGCGAAGGCTACTTTCCTTCTCTCGTTTCTCCTGGACTCTATCCGGAGAGCAGCTACCCGGGCTTGTTCTTATTTTAACAATATTTTTCATTTTACCGAAATATTTTATATTTCTATTTACACAGGGTAATATGGATCTTTTAAATACATGTCTCAGGGTGGACCTCTCCAATAATTAGGCAATGAGTTTTCAGCCTAGTTTTTATTAATCTGAATGGCTCAAATGTAAATAATTTGTTAAGTATTTCACAACTTAATGTAATCAATTGTATACATTTATTTTGTAACATGATTCTTTCCAAAAGAAATTACAAAATGTAGAGATGTTGCAACAAGAGATCTGATCCCTAACTGCTGGCTTGTTGGAAAATGTAGATATTACTAAAGAGTTATAATTTACTGATAAGAAACAATTTCCATTGTTTTGTACATTTATCTACTTTCTTAATATAATATTTTTCTTTACAATGTTCTTCTTCTTGTCTAGACTGAAATATCAACAACTACTTGTTTGTGTTATTTTTTATCCATTCCAAAATACATGTTGTTTTTGAAAAGCACATTGGGATATCAGAGAGGAACATGTGTTGCTGATGTAGTTGCAGTTTCATTCTGCTGCCACTAGGTTTCAGTAAAGAGCCGTATTTCACTGATGGAAAACCATTACCAAGAGCCTGTAAAGCACATTTATCTTTGGTGTGTGTACGGCCTTAATGTTCACACATTCTTATTCTGACATCTTTTTATGTAAATATAAAAGTTCCATTATCACCAATTTAAATAGTTAATTTCTTTGTTACTCTTTAAGTTCATAACCATCACAACTTGTTGCATTTATCTATTTTGCTTTGTTGTTACACCTGTTATTCTGACCCTAGTCTTTTGCTCTGTACTTCATGTGTTTACCTTTCTCTCGTTCTGTTCTGGTTTGAGTTCATCAATAAAGGTTGAAATGTCCATAACTCTCGTCCACACTAATGCTAATGATAGCATTAGTGTCACTAATGCTAATGATAGCATTAGTGTCACTAATGCTAATGATAGCATTAGTGTCACTAATGCTAATGATAGCATTAGTGTCACTAATCTGTCATTTCTAAATAGAATAATTGCACGTGTTCACTTGAAATAAAAACACTGGAAACAATATTAAACAAAACAAGCTGCAGAGATGAAAGTGCAGAGTTTGTGAGGATACATCAGAAGGTATAAAGAACACAGTGAAGGCTGTCACACTGAGTGAGAGAAGTGTGTGTGTGTGAGTGAAGTGTGTGTGTGAGAGAAGTGTGTGAGTGAAGTGTGTGAGTGAGAGAAGTGTGTGAGTGAGAGAAGTGTGTGTGAGTGAAGGCTGTCACACTGAGTGAGAGAAGTGTGTGAGTGAAGTGTGTGTGAGTGAAGTGTGTGAGTGAGAGAAGTGTGTGAGAGAAGTGTGTGAGTGAGAGAAGTGTGTGAGAGAAGTGTGTGAGTGAAGTGTGTGAGTGAGAGAAGTGTGTGAGTGAGAGACGTGTGTGAGAGAGGTGTGTGAGTGAAGTGTGTGAGTGAGTGAGAGAAGTGTGTGAGTGAGTGAGAGAAGTGTGTGAGTGAAGTGTGTGAGTGAAGTGTGTGAGTGAGAGAAGTGTGTGAGTGAGAGACGTGTGTGAGTGAGAGACGTGTGTGAGTGAGAGAAGTGTGTGAGTGAGAGACGTGTGTGAGTGAGAGAAGTGTGTGAGTGAGAGAAGTGTGTGAGTGAGAGACGTGTGAGTGTGTGTGTGTGTGTGTGTGTGAGAAGTGTGTGTGAGCGAGTGAGAGAAGTGTTTGTGAGCGAGTGAGAGAAGTGTGTGTGCGCGAGTGAGTGAGTGAAGTGTGTGTGTGCGAGTGAGTGAGTAGTATGTGTGAGTGTGAGTGAGTGAAGTGTGTGTGTGAGTGAAGTGAGTGAGAGACGTGTGTGAGTGAAGTGTGTGAGTGAGTGAGAGAAGTGTGTGTGAGAGAAGTGTGTGAGTGAGAGACGTGTGTGTGTGTGTGTGTGAGTGAAGTGTGAGTGAGTGAAGTGTGTGAGTGAGAGAAGTGTGTGAGTAAGGCCCAATCCCAAACCGCCCCCTACACCCTACCCCTACACACTACCCCTCCGTTTGCGCGTTCGCGCGGAGGGTCCGCCACATTAAGTGCTGTTCCAAACCAACGAGTGTGGAGAGGTGTGGAGGGGGAGTGGGCTATCAAACCCTCAAACAGCGAGTCTGCATCGGTGCTGACTTGAGACTGGTCTCTACCTGACCGGAGTCACGCTGTGTGTGTCCGTCAGGAAACACGCTGTTTACAAACAGTTCCAGCAAACATCCACTGATAAATTGCGATGTTAACAACTTCATGATAACCTCATATTTTTTTTAACTTAGGATCATACCTGTGTTTAGTCTAGAAAAAGGTAAATGTGTGCATTTTATTATAAAGTTGTGTATATTTACAGACTGTTGCAAAAACTAAGAAGCTTATAAACATCAGGTTTAAAACTAAAAGAGCTTTACAAAAAAGTAACACAATGAAAGACGTTTGGAGTTTTATTTGAGTTCTTAATTTACATTTTTTGTCTGAGAGATGCTGATTTGAAACCGTTGTTACAGTTACGGCATTTCCTGTTTCTGCCGGAGAGAGGGGAGTTTGTCCCAAAGCTTGCCGCTGTATTTACTCCCTCCATCTGACAGGAGGGAGCCTCGTTGAGCTGCGAGTGTGGCTACAGACGGAGTTCACTCCGCCACGGAGGGGTAGGGTCGAGCGAGTGGTTTGGGATTGTGCCTTAGTGAAGTGTGTGAGTGAAGTGTGTGAGTGAGAGAAGTGTGTGAGTGAGAGAAGTGTGTGAGTGAGTGAAGTGTGTGTGTGCGAGTGAGTGAGTAGTGTGTGTGTGTGTGTGTGTGTGTGTGTGTGTGTGAGTGAGAGAAGTGTGTGAGTGAGTGAAGTGTGTGAGTTAGTGAAGTGTGTGAGTGAAGTGTGTGAGTGAAGTGTGTGAGTGAGAGACGTGTGTGAGTGAGAGAGGTGTGTGAGTGAGTGAAGTGTGTGAGTGAAGTGTGTGAGTGAGTGAGAGAAGTGTGTGAGTGAGTGAGAGAAGTGTGTGAGTGAGTGAGAGAAGTGTGTGAGTGAGTGAGAGAAGTGTGTGAGTGAAGTGTGTGTGTGTGTGTGTGAGAGACGTGAGTGAGTGAAGTGTGTGTGTGAGTGAGTGAAGTGTGTGAGTGAGAGAAGTGTGTGAGTGAGAGAAGTGTGTGAGTGAGAGACGTGAGTGAGTGAAGTGTGTGTGTGTGTGTGTGAGTGAGTGAAGTGTGTGAGTGAGAGAAGTGTGTGAGTGGTGTGAGTGAGTGAGAGAAGTGTGTGAGTGAGAAGTGTGTGAGTGAAGTGTGTGAGTTAGTGAAGTGTGTGAGTGAAGTGTGTGAGTGAAGTGTGTGAGTGAAGTGTGTGAGTGAAGTGTGTGAGTGAGAGACGTGTGTGAGTGAGTGAAGTGTGTGAGTGAGAGAGGTGTGTGAGTGAAGTGTGTGAGTGAGAGAGGTGTGTGAGTGAGTGAAGTGTGTGAGTGAGTGAGTGAAGTGTGTGAGTGAGTGAGTGAAGTGTGTGAGTGAGTGAGTGAAGTGTGTGAGAGAAGTGTGTGAGTGAGTGAGAGAAGTGTGTGTGTGTGTGTGTGTGTGTGTGTGTGTGTGAAGTGTGTGAGTGAGAGACGTGAGTGAGTGAAGTGTGTGTGTGTGTGTGTGTGTGTGAGAGACGTGAGTGAAGTGTGTGTGTGTGAGTGAGTGAAGTGTGTGAGTGAGAGAAGTGTGTGAGTGAGAGAAGTGAGTGAAGTGTGTGAGTGAGAGAAGTGTGTGAGTGAGAGAAGTGTGTGAGTGAGAGAAGTGTGTGTGTGCGAGTGAGTGAGTAGTGTGTGTGTGCGAGTGAGTGAGTAGTGTGTGTGTGTGTGAGTGAGTGAAGTGTGTGAGTGAGTAAAGTGTGTGAGTGAGAGAAGTGTGTGAGTGAGAGAAGTGTGTGAGTGAAGTGTGTGAGTTAGTGAAGTGTGTGAGTGAAGTGTGTGAGTGAGTGAAGTGTGTGAGTGAGTGAAGTGTGTGTGAGTGAAGTGTGTGAGTGAGAGAAGTGTGTGAGTTAGTGAAGTGTGTGAGTGAAGTGTGTGAGTGAGTGAAGTGTGTGAGTTAGTGAAGTGTGTGAGTGAAGTGTGTGAGTGAGTGAAGTGTGTGAGTTAGTGAAGTGAGTCAGTGAAGTGTGTGAGTGTGTGGGTGTTTCTCAATGTCGAGGACGCTTGCTTGGTAGGACACGTCTTCCGAGTCCCTTGCTTCAGAAGCAAGAATCCTTCCTAGCCTCGGAAAACGAAGAATGGTGGAACAGGCTAACAGGTGTGCGTCATATGCGAGGCCCCGCCATTAGGATGTGTGTTCTCTTGTCAGTGAGGAGAGGTGGTCTGTTCACCACAAACTGGTCTCCTGAACTCCCTTTCTTTTAATGTGGAAGGGTTTTCTTGTGGACATCAATCAACTTCTTTGTTATTTTGTCAATGAAGCCACACTTTACATAAATATCCCATTCAATTATACAGCAAACATACACAGGCATATATTAGTGACCAAACAAGATGCACGGAAATTCATTTGGAGAAAATACAAAGAGACAACAGAAAGAAGTGAGATTGGCAGGTGGTTAGTCAGCGGACGACCAGACCCAGGAGCAAAGACTGAACTGGCTTTTCCAAGTGTCAAAGGTATGATCCTCTTCTGCATCTTCTAAATATGGAACATTGCCAGACTCCGACCGTCACTCTCGGAGTCGGTTGCTGAAACCCTAATACATGCATTTGTCACCACCCGCTTGGACTACTGCAATGGTGTCCTGTTCGGGGTTCCCAAAAAAAAAACGGACAGGCTCCAGTATGTCCAAAACTGTGCTGCTAGGGTACTCACGCACACAAAGCCGTGGCAGCACATCACTCCCACCCTCATCCACCTACACTGGTTGCCGGTCAAGTTCCGTATATCCTACAAAGTACTCCTCCTTACCTACAAGTCCCTCCATGCCCTTGCCCCCCAGTACCTATCGGACATCCTTCACCCACATGCCCCACCCCGGAACCTGCGGTCCTCAGACTCTGGCCTGCTCACCACCCCCCGCACCAAACTGCGAACCTTCGGGGACAGAGCCTACAGTGTGGCAGCCCCCACCCTCTGGAACGCTCTCCCTGCAGAGATTCGCAACATCCCCACACTCGACGCCTTCAAATGGGCCCTCAAGACCCATCTGTTTGCCAAGGCTTTCGGCCCCTAATCGATCTGTTGTTTGGTCTGTCTGACTTTTGTTTTGTTATGTTTGTTTTTGCCCTATTACTTGTAAAGCGACCTTGGGTCCCTTGAAAGGCGCTATATAAATGCAAGCTATTATTATTATTATGGACAGTGTTCTGTAACTTTACTTCATGTGTTGTCAGGCGCAGCCAACAATAAGGTTTACAGATCATAATACAGAGCACTTCTATATGGAAACTCACTACTACACCATCCATTCCTGCCTCCCTTTATCCTCTCGTGCATTCATTTGTCTTATTCCAGGTATTCTTGCTCATATTCTGATTTGGCAGAAACACACCTGAGTAGAAATGGTTAAACTCATAAAATGTTAATGTGGCGGCACGTGGTAGTGTTTGTTTAAACTCCTATTTATGATCTACATTTAACCAAAAGCCAGACAACGCCACCTTGGGAATTGCACCCAAGGAAATAATTATTCAAAGTACCAATAAGGCATCAGGTTCGTAATACTGAGGGGCAGGAGAGGTGGTTCCTATTCATCACATGTTTGATTTCAAGTATTAAATATCATTAAAAAACACATTAAGATCATCATACACACTGGAAATAAAGGGGGACATCTTAATTAAGGGATGCTGAGGCTTACCAGTGGATGGAGGTGACGAGGGGTGAGAGGGATCCCCACAAAGTAAATGAGGGCACC